TTAAATTATGAGTTAAGGAATGTCTTGAGTGCTTGAACTTCCCCTGTATCACTCCTTGTAACGACAATATCATCAACAAAAAGTCATAAACAATGAGGAAGGTAACCTGAGTGCCTCTCCTCTTCACAAACAAGGTATTGTTGGACTATGTTTGTATATATCTCAGGTATGATTTTTACGAAGTGCTTTTATTTCAATTTTCATAACCTCCCTCCATTCTATCTTAGACAAGGCCTCTATAACTGACTTGGGTATAGGCTGAAAAGAAAATGGAGGCTAAGAAAAAATAATAAGATGGCGATAACAGGTGTTTGGAAGTACAATGCGTTGTACATTTCCTCTCACCTTTTCTCATAGAAATATGCAAGTCCAAGTCTAGGAAGGGAGGTTCTAGAGTAGGTGGTGAAGGACTTGTCCTCTCTTCAGGGGTTGAGAGTGTCCAAGGCTCAACTGTAGATGAGAGAACAAACTAATCATGTTGTATCCTTTGTCTCTAGTACCACCTCTGAACATAGTATGAATAATGAAAACTAGAGAACTAGTAGGAAGAGGAGCAGGAATGGTAGAACTAAGAGGCAAAGGCTCTGCCAATAGAACAGAAGAAACCATAGGAGACTCAAACTCAGAATCAACAAGAGAAGACAGAGGAAGTGGTCAAGCAAACAATTCAATGAAATGCTCCCCCTCAAAAGGATGACCATAAAATGGAAGTGACTCTACAAATGTAACATTCATGGAGACAAAATGAGTTCCACTAGTGGGATCAAAATAGTAATAGCCCTTTATGTGGAGGCATACCCTTAGGAAATGCACTTCTAGGCCTTGGAGTCAAATTTATGTCTCTAAGAACTAGAGACATGAACATAACATGTACACCCAAAGACACAAGGGAATAGGAAACAATTCACTCTTAGGAAACATGACAACAAAAAAAGATTTAAACCCCAAGACTTGAGAAGGCATGCGGTTAATAAGGTGGGTAGTTGTCATCACTGCATCACCCCAAAATCTCATCGGAACATGGGTGGCAAAAAGGATGATCCTAGTTATTTCAACATGTCGGTTCTTTCTCTCTACAACCCCATTCTATTCTAAAGTACAAGGACAAGAACTTTAATATATAACCCCAAACTTCTCAAAGTATGAAACAAGATCCTTCTCAAAACAATTCTTAGCATTATCCGATCAGAATAAATTGATGTAGGTATCAAATTGGGTAAGAACAAATTCACGAGACTGTTTTACAAGTTTGGATACTTTAGTATGGGAACACATAAGATAAAGTCAGGTGTAATGAGAAAAATCATCAATAAACAAAATAAAATATTTATAACCACCCATGCAAGGTAAATGGTATGGCCCCCATACATTAGAGTGAACAATATGAAAAGGAACTGTAGCTCTTTAATTACTTGTAGAATAAGAGTTTTTACAATACTTTGACAACTTGTATGACTCACATTGTAGACTTGACAACTTAGTTTCTTTAAACAAAGTTGGAAACAAAAGACTCAACAAAAAAAGGAATATAAACCAAACGATAATGACATAACTTAATACGATTGACTAACTCTGAAACATCTAAACCAAAAACTGCTCTTGGAGTGATACTTGACTTTGTTTAGGCATGTCCAACAAGTATATCTCATTCACATCATGGACACTCTCAATCACCTTTTTGAGAGTCCATGTCCTRAAAAACACAATAAAAATGTAAGAAGGTCACACTTCAATTTAAAAATTTTGTCAAATTACTAGCTGAAAGAAAATTAGTGTTTAATTTAGGAACATGAAGGACTAGGGATAAGGTAAGGGTGTCTAAAGCTCTAATGTTTTCCTTGCTAAAGATAGGAGCAAGAGATCCATCAACAAGGGTGGTCTTATCTCGACCAAATAAAAGTTGATAAGTAAAAAGTAAATGGGACACACTAGTCATATGGTCAAAGGCACCGGAATTAATTATCCAAGGGATCCTACGATTACCTGAGATAGAAGCATGATTTGCAGTAGCACAAATACCTAAATGGGCATATGAAATGAAGAAGGAACTATCTCTGATGATGTAGGTGTTGTGACAGTAGACTCTAAGTGACTAATTATTTGACCATACTTCTCATACTCAGCCTAGCGGCTGCTAGTTTCTCTCTCACTAACTTCTCACCATTATGCCCCTGTTCACTTTGTGAGGAGGTGGTTACATTTGCATTTCCACATTTCCCTTTTTCATTCATTTTTCCATTGATTGCATTCTTAAGTCTGACAGGTATAAGCTCTGGATGCAGCTTCCAACAGGTGTCTTTAGTATGCTTAGGCTTCTTGTAGTATTCACAAACAACATCATTCTTCCAAGTGATAACCTTCGGCTTCATCCCGACATTAGCATAGTGATCCATCAATGACTCTATAGACTAAACTTGTCTCCTGCTCTTCTCATTACTCACCATAAACCTAAGATAAAGTCACCTCATCCTTCACCAAAACATTTTATCTCACAATATCATACTTTGGGTTATGTCTAGTAAGGAACTCAAAAACCTGATTTCTTTCCACCGACTTCCTATGTGTCATCCTTTATACACCCCCAAACCACTATCTCCATCAAATCAATCTCCTGCCAAAGAGATTTTAGCATGGATAAGTAAACGGCTAAGAGCTTCTCCTCCTGTCTTAGATTATTTACATCATTCTTCAATTTGTAAACTCGAGCAACATTCAATTTTTGGAAATAAATCTCTATGACATTATCCCACACCTTTGCAGTTTTCAACCATAAGTAGTGTTAGCTAATATGTGGTTGCATAAAATTCACTAACCAACCCACTACCATGTAATTCTCTTGCGTCCACCTCTCATAAGTAGGGCTATCCTCCCCAGATTTCTTTTTTCTCCTGGTAATGTAACCCAATTTACCTCTACTACACACATGTATCTTAATTGACTGAGACCAAGCTAAATAATTGGTCACATCTAGCTTCATAGTGGTCACTGCCCCAAAAGATTCTTCATTGACCCCCATGTCCAAACCCAGGATCTGTGGAATATTTGGTTTCTCCTCTAGTTTGCTACATTGAGTGAAACAGAGATCAAAGTAAGTCTCAACTAAACTAGAATTGATATCCCAAGCACAAAGTTACTCTTCAAACAACTAAATCTAGAGTTTCACATGACTCGCTCAAATGGGAGAAGAGGAGAAAGTTTAACCACTCATACCAGAGGTTTCAGAACCCTGTCCAACTCAAATCGCCCTTAATGGAAATCAAAAGGCTACCCTTTAATCCCCAAGCGCAAGATTCAAAGTGTCTCTAGGACCTATAACTAGTTTTCTCCAATTGTCTAGGGTTTTTTGAAAAAAAACTCCAAAAACCTACCTTGGGCTTCAACTAGGGATGAGAAACTTCACAAAACCTCTCCAAAAACCCTCCCAACTAGGCTACATAAGGTGCTCTCTAATCATCCGATCAACTCTCCATAAACACTATGTATAGGCAAAGAGAGAAGAAAGAAAAGAATGTGAAAACCTGCTCTGATACCAAGTTGTAAATCACACCTGCAATAATCTGAATTAAAAGAAAAGAAACAAGAGAAAAGAAGGAGATTGAAGAGAGAGAAGTGGAGGAAGAAGATGGAAGTAAAAGAAGAAGAAAAGAGAGTAGTTATAAAACTCCCTTCAGCCCCCAATGATTTTTTTTATACTTTTGTTGTAAAAAATAAGGACAAATACATGAGTGCCCTTAGTAGGGCATCTATCACTAAAGACAACAATAAAAAACAATAAAAAAAAAGATGAAACAGGCCCATAAATAAGGCCCAATACCTAATAACACAAGTCATAAATATAACTAAAAACAAAACAAAGAAACTAAGGCCCATTTGGCCCATTATCTCTACAGTTTTTAAACTTTCAAAATTTACAATTCACCATCAACCTAAGGAGCAAGTGGGTAGCAAATGAAATTTCTTCAGTTCTCATTGCGGGCAATCATTTAATTTTATCGATGCCTCCATTTTCACTTTTTTTCTCATTGGTTTAGTGCTTCCAATTTTTTTACTACACATACTATATGGTCTCCCTTAAGGCTGTCTTTGAAATGGCCACAGAGTCGAGTTTACGCTCAACTTCTGACACACATGTCATTGATCCAGACAGCCGAATCGTTGGAACCATTATCTAATCACAATTCCGGATATAGTTTTAGAAATTCTTCAAAAACCATTTGACTTGATCCAAAAATCAAATCTACGTGGTTGATCCATTTGACCTGGTCACTGGGTAATTGGTTTGCCAATAAGACGTATGAAACTTTCAAAGGCTATAACTTTGTGCCCAGTTATCTGATTGGGGTGATTATATCAATTTTAGATAATTTTTCGAGACCTACGTGTTCCAAGGGGCTGAAGGCACCTTACCCCATTGATCTTAATATCTAATGATTTCTTGCAAAGGCGGAGAGCCGGACTCAGAGGAGCCCCGGATATCACCAAAGGATCAATATGAAACCACATGCATTATAAGCCAATATAAGAGTCTCAATGAAGACAACTGGGGCGGGAAGTTAGGGAAGCTGGATCTCAACTTTTTCACTGATGTGAAGAGAGTCATAGGCGACCAAATGGATGGGATTTCATTGAAACAACTAACGGAGATATCTGCTGTACCATGGCTACTTGATCAGGGACATCCCATTCTTGATCATCATCACACCAACATCCACGCTCATGGTGTACCATGGCTACACACCAAACTCAATCAACTACTCAGAATGTAACATCTGATAAGAGCCCCACGCGGATGATGATGATAATGACCGATTTGTGTAATGCTAATATCCAGTCAGGATAAATTAGAGATGATTCTGTTGAAGAATTTGCAACTGTACCAAGGTTTAGCTACGTGATTGCTTAGTCTGAAAATATTCTGGGTTTTTTTTTTTTTTTTGTATTGCTCACCATGCCACGGATGGTGGTTCAATTTCGTATTAGAACAAGGTTGCTCCAGCATGGTAAAGAAACATTGCCGAACTTATAACAGAAGGATGAAGCATTAAGGTTTTCCAAAGAACAAAAATAGTTTTCATGTGTTTTAACTCAGCCAAACACTTGCTGAGTTGCTTTTTCCTCTCCCAACCATAGTCCATAGCAAAGTACTTTCACCTACTTCTGAAGTGATAACAGTGATATTTGTTCTTCAATGGAGCAATCAACATGACAGGAGGACCGGCATGAAGAAGGAATTAGAATAAGGCCAAGGCACCGCTGTTCCATTGGGGAAGGTGAGGTGCGCCGGGTGCTGCGGTATTCCACTGCATCTTGGAGAATTATGTTGCCCTGCTTGTCAATACAGTGGAAGGCACCCAAAAAGAACCTGCCATCATTAATGCCAACTAGCATTCGGTGGTTGAGCAGCTTCTTCACACGACCAACAAGAGGAGAGTTGTTTGTGTCATTTCCAAAGTGAACTGAAGAAGGATCCACATGTTGTTCCATGTCTTTACCTACAACCTTTGGAAAAGAATGGAAAAATACAAGATGTTTATCTGCCCCCCGGTGTACCAACAGAATTGGGATAAACCTTAAGCTTGTGACATGTCACAACCCAACCATGGGTATTGCCTTCACTGCACCAAACAGAATCTACAAGTTAACAAAACAGAAAATGGCTATGCATTGTTAAAGTAGTACAAAAAGTCTGTTGACATAGTAGCAGTATTTAAATCAGGAAAAAAGAAAACGAGAACCATCGGATGAGTTAAATGAAATATGCAAAACGAGTAAAGCGAGACAGCCTTTTGATATGTCCCGGAAATCTCACACACAATTCACAGGCACACAGCAAGAATACACAGCTCAAATGAAAAGAAACTTGTATTCATTCAATGGAGAGTAATAACAGTTGGTCGGTTCTTCGAGAGACCACCGGCTCTCCCAAACACTCAAAATGTTTTTCTCTGCCCCCCCTCCCTATCCAGAAACTCCCATATAATATTCCCTCCTGACACCATAACTAACTCCCTCTAGAAATATTCCCTCCTGACATCC